ATAAAGGAAGGGATGAGGTCGAGGTTTTAGGGTGATGATCAGAAAAGAGAGCTATTTGAGTTTGCAAACGAAAACTAAAATAATTTGGACGTTTCCAAGAGAGGATAAAATGGCGTGGAAGAGACCCTAGCAATCCGCTTCACTACAACGAAGTAAAGTGTGTTGGTGGTTGTAAACAATCTCAAATCCCAAGACCAAGATTGGTCATTGAGTCAGGATTTTGGTAGATTTTCCGTTAAACAGTGGCATCAACTACTATTAGCAGATCCGCAGCTTAGTAGGAAGAAGTGTTTGTGGCAGGAAGCCGCTGTTTGGTTGACTGATTTGAATGAAAAGAAATCTCGCCGTTACTTTATGAGATAGAGGTTTTGCCCGATTCACCATACACTTATGTTAGAATAATTTTTTATGTAAAGAAACACACATTTACTACACAAAGGGTCACATTTGAGCACACCAGCGATCACATTAAAAATCCAATTAGCTGTTTTGGCCCATCCTACGTGCGGGAATCAAGTAGTCGATTATAACTGAATAAAACTCATAACAGTTAGTTTACACGCATAAAGAAACATTCTGGCAGTTTTAATATGGAAAATTATCTCGTAAACAAATATACCGTGACCACATATTATTTCTTTTACGCAATTAGGCATATAGGCTTATAGGATATGCAATTTAAATTCGATAATTTTACAATAAAACAGTCATTGTGTTGATTTGAAAAGACTTGAAGTGACATTGGTGGTCGAATCACACACATTGGCAACTGGTTTAGTACTGTAGCCACACCACCTTCCATTGCATATTATCACTTACATAGCAGCCTACCTTTTGGCCTCCCATTCTCTTCTATCCCTTGCCCTTGCCTCTGATGATGTTGATACCGGTCTGGAGAAGTCTTTCATTGCCTGGTCCTCCTAGTGGTCGTCTTACTTGTGGTGGTATACATTTTTAAAAGTTAATGTATCTTCTCTCCTCCATGCATAGCCTATCCATCCGAGCTTTTTACTTATGGACTTTTACTTCTTTTATATTTGGGTGTTAAACATTGCTCTTAGCTATCTGTTCTTTCGTATCTCAACCTCCGTTATCATGAAATGGCCCGTATATGTTCTCTGCACTCCATTTCTCAAACCCAGCAATAAGGGTTTTCGGTTCTTTGGTCAGTGCCCATACACTAAGTTTCTGAACTATACACTACTGGCATAATATGGTTTGATATGAATCCAATTTGGGCAGTTTTCTAGAGACCTACTACACCGGATGACATTTGAATTGCCAACAAAAAATTTAGCATGCCGAAACATTCCTTTCCTGACGTTATTAAATCAAACGTCCATACATATCTGTTGTATCAATTTCACTGCATTAATTGCTAAATAAATTATTAAACAAAGAAAAGTAAAAACAATAACAGATAGTTTGTTTTTAATCAGATATTTGGTTAAAATAACATTCATTTGATAATTTATTTTTGTAAAAAAAAACCGACTTCAAACGCTCTAAAAAGAATGAAATAATTTCAATTTTTATTCAAGCTCACGTATTCTAAGTCGGCGTGGCACGGCTCTATGATGATTTTTGACACAACATACTCAAAATGTAAATTGGATGTCCACATTGCAGGCGATTGTCCATAACTAAAGGTATTAATCTTCGTTTTTTTTTAGAACTATGCGTTGGGTGTTATTTTACAATTGTAACGCATCTTCGGTAGATACCTTCATAACTCTATTTTGATATGATTAATTGTAATTTTATAGTGGTACATATTAACAAGTATCTTTAAAAATAATGCATTTAAATATTTTTAATTTGGACAAGTCACGCTTTGATATTACTGAATAACCTTGTAATTTTAAATATTACTTTTAATTAAACTAGCTTCTTTTCCCTATAATATCAAAATATTTTTTTCCATATTCATGTAGATGTTCAATAGCATTAAAAAGTTAATGGGTTTACCAACAGAGTGCAGCACTATTTTTTTTTTATTTATGACAACAGCTAATTTACAACCATAAGGTGAGTGAGCGTAGCGAAAGAACTTCAACTGGAGGCGAGTTAGCGTAGCGAACGAGCTAAACCCGAAGGCATGTGAGCCCAGCAAACGAACTTCAACCATGACGTGATTGAGCGATGCGAACGATCTCATCTTGAAAATGAACGAACATTTGACATAAAACCACATTTGGACAGGACGACGTCTGTCGGGCCAGCTAGTTATTTAAATAAACTTCAAGCTGTATTTTCTTATAAACATTTTTCCGTGAAGAAAATGCTAAGTGTGTAATTATGTGAACTACAGTCATTGACTCTAGTATAACGGCCAATTAGGGTGTCAAAACAAAATCTAAACTTATAGCCCATCTACTAGAATGAACCAGAGACGCAGTCTACATTGTAACAAGAGAAATATGTTGCACGTTTGGGTTGAAATAGATTATCGTCTGGACGTCTGTAGAGTAAGAAATTGTTGTAATGTTTAAGCTTAATACGTATGTATAAAATCTTTATGATGTCCTGAATTCAACAAAGTTTTTTTTTTGTATCTCTTCTTGTTGTATTTTTATTTCATAACTAAACTAAACCTCACCATTATTTTATGAAACCCCTGTATTATAATATAATGCTATAAGATAAAGTACCGGTACTCATAATTAATGTAGACCATTAAGGGTCTAAGGGAGTGCTGAACACTGAAATTAATTAGAGGTTTTTCAAAGTTATACAGCATAACAATGATAACGTGGTCAGCTTATCATCTTTCTGAAGGAACCTTGGAACATTGAAATACCTCATCAAGACCGCTGAGCTAAAATAAAATAGTAGATGAGGTTTAAATGGACCATATGAGTCGGGTTTTTCGCTGTGTATGCACCTACACAAAAATGGAAGGATGGGGTTTTGCCGCTTTCGCTAAAAGCGTTTGAATGATCATTGCAAAATGCCTTCGGCGTGGACATACGGTACAAAAAAGTGGCAATCCGCAAACTCCGGAGACTTTGGAGGTGGCCGTGAGAAGTGGCCACCCGTACAGCTTCGGAATGGCGGAATGGAGACCCCAACACGCAAAAACCCCCAGAGTTGCGCAATTGGGTCGCGGAGACGTAGTTATCGCAGATTCCAGGCCTCCAACACGCTACAAATCACATTTTCAATTAAACCTGTGTCTTTTTTCCACCCGCCCGAGTGAGAGAAGGTGAATTGGCAGACTCGTAGACGGTCACTGACCCTTAAACACCGCGGTCTTTGAGAACTAAGAGTCTTTGACCAAACTCTCGACTCAATCCAACATCTCATATAGATATATTTTCCCCAAATAAATCACTTGATGATAGCACAGATAAAACAAGGAGTATGTTTTATCTATGATGATAGGTAAACAGAATTTTAAAAACTATTTGTTTATTTTTAATAACAAGCACTTAAAATTACTTTGGCAAAAATTATCTCATTTGGTGGTGATTAGCCCTGGTAGTCAATATAGGCTTACCATTTGAGCTGTGGATCTATTAATCTGTTCAAAACCTTCACTATACAACAACCGTATGCAAGATAAATTCGATGATTATAAAAGGACAATTTAAGAATAGTCAATGGCGTAACTGATTATTTCAAGATTACAATCGTCGGCGAATACATGAGATGCCATCTTAAATAATTTATTGATGGATTTGATTTATTATTTGTGGTCTCGGGAGTTATAGTAGCATAGCACTTTATTTCACCATTGTTTCAAACGATTCAAGCCTTATTTGTATTTGTATTTATTTATAACATGTACACTGATCTTTTGTTCAAACAAATTAATTGTATGCCAAATGTAATTGTAAACAATTTGTAGCAAATACTGTATTATTACCATGCAAACACAGCCCAATAGAGTCATTGTTAGTTTGTTACGAGTTATGAAGATGTTTATCTACTACTATTTTACAATGTATCAAGTCTAGGGATAGGAAGCTGGTCGACTCAGGATTACGGTGCGTTTTCTTCGCCATGTCATAGCAGAATGCCAACCGCATGGTAAAAAAAGCATTAAGTGTTTTGAGAGAGCTTTGCCTGTCAATCCGTAGGCAGCGCCACCAGCGTTGCTATGCACTCATTAGAAACCTCAATAGAGGTTTCTATCTCAATCCAGTAAAAAATAGAAGCTGATTGAAATCTGTAGAAATCTAAAATAACTTGCAATTTTATATTAAGTTGACTGCCATATTTTACTGTGTTAAGATAGAGACCTCTAGTTTGTGTTGTTAGATTGCTTTTATTACGACCTTCAAAATGAGGGGTCACTCGATGGGGCTTAACATTTAAAATTTTTGAGTTTCCCCCAAAATCACCCATTTTGGGTTTGGGAACCAAGTGGCTATTAGGCTTAAAAATTAACATGCCAAAAAGGTGTGTAGAGTTTAGCTTTCCTAGTGTGAGCCGTTACAAAAGTTACAGGGTGTCTACAGACTTGGAAAGATGTTAGTTAAATTTAACTTCTGAGAATTTCAATTGGCTGCCATTTTTTACTGGAATGAGATAGAGACCTCTAATTTGCGTTGTTGGTTTTCTTTTACCAGGACCTTTAAAATGAGGCGTCATTCGATGGATCTTTCTATTTGACATTTTTGAGTTTCCCCCAAAATCCCCCATTACGGGGATGTATACCAAGTGGCGGTTATGCCCAAAAAGTACTTCATAACATGCCATCAAGGTGTGCCGAGTTTAGTTTTTCTAGTATGGGCCGTTAAAAAAATAACAGGGGGTCTCCACACTTTTTACTAACTCTGTATATCCCTGTGATCGTCATTGTACACAATTAATTATTAATTAATCGTCTACGGTTTCATTTAGTAGTATTATATATATGAATTATTATGCACTCACACAATATTCTATTATTCAGCGTCTACTTCCTCTTTGCTGTGTCTCGTGAGTCTTGTCAGCTGCAAAATTTGTTTTATGTATCAAAAATCAAAATTAATTGCCTGTGTGTGCTGTGCTCGTGCTGTGCAATAGCCTTTTTCAGTCTGCTGCTACCCAGCCAGACTGGTATTGAAATTTTGGAAATATAACTTTACAATTATTGAACGAAATGGTGTAAAAAGTGAATTAAAAATTATTCAGTGCAATTGCACTTTCATCGAATTACTACATTTCAGTCATAAAGCTAGTCCCGGACTTCTAAAATGGTCGAAATTAAAGAAGTGACAGGTGATTCAAGTAGTGGGGTGAATGAAGTCAGCCCCAGTGATGGAGTTGTTCAGGCACAAGCTAATGGTGAAGTAAGTGAATTAAAATAAAAGCATTATTTTTCTCTATATGTAATATTACATGATATACCTTAACTTTTAAAACATTTTGGTTGTGGCTTTTGAATGATACATTCCAGAACTTATAGGTTATGTTTTAGATGGCATGCTAACCTCATGATTGAATATGAAATCCTTGGCCTATTTCCACATTTATAATATATTTAACCGTCGAAATCCTGAATATCGTTTAATGAAAGATTTTGCTGTGCTTAAAAGAGTGTTGAATTGTGGTTTTGAATTACATAGGCTTAAGCTAGGCCTACCTAGGGCCTAGGTTCGGGTACAGTTTCTTAACTGGGCTATGCTAATATCAATTGAAACTATCGAATTGAAAATATAGATTTATAATCGATATTTTTTAATATATCTCAATATTGAACTATCATAACCTAACCTAACCAACCAAACTTGCTGATGGTGAAAAAACCGCATGAAGGTTTACTAATCAAATCGATAGTTTCAATCGATATTAGCATAGCCCAGTTAAGAAACTGTACCCTAGGTGCTGTTTAAACAAATACATAGGTAGGCCTATAGGCTAGGCTATCTATTAAAAAATTAAACTGTCATAACCTAACCTAACTAACCAAACTTGCTGATAATAAAAAAATTGCATGAACTTTTACTAATCGAATCGATAGTTTCAATCAATATTAGCATAGCCCAGTTAAGAAACTGTACCCCTAGGTTCTGTTTAAACAAATACATAGGTAGGCCTAGGCCTATAGGCTATCTATTAAAAAATTAAACTGTCATAACCCAACCTAACTAACCAAAACTTGCTGATAATAAAAAAATTGCATGAACTTTTACTAATCGAATCGATAGTTTCAATCGATATTAGCAGTCCAGTTGAGAAACTGTAGCCTACCCAATGTAAGCACACCCTAAACATTGCCATCCTTGGCCCATTTAAGTAATTAATTTTCTTGTAAAAACAAGCTTTTTTTTTAAAAAAAGTTAGTTACTTGCAGTGTTTCCTCAGTGTTAAAATTGTACAAAAACAGTCTGGAGGTAAGTTAACATATACCTATAAGAATTCAGTTCCTTAACCTAAACTTTACCTTTGTAATCCAACCTGACTTAAAGGCACTTAATACAGCCCTAAATTTGCATGTAAATCCCGACCTACTACCCAATCCATCCCTAAATAAGGCAACCTTAAAACGCAAATTTTAGAATGAAAACTGTGTTTGCCCCAAAAGTGCTAGAGGAAAAAAGTAGTCCTAGGTAGCTACTTAGAATTGCCTAATTTAGCCAAATATGCTAAACAAAATATTTGTAGAAATCGCATAAGTAGCCTAAGTTAGGTAGTGTAGCTTAAGAGTCTTCATCACCCGCCGAGAGTACCTTGCGTTTTGGGCCTAGTTGCGTTTTGGGGGTATGGCCTTGGAGAGTAAGGTTGTGTGGAGGGGTGGGTAGTGCGGGGTCACTATGCGTGCCAATTCTGAAATCATGGTAAAACACACTATTAGGCCTACTAAAGACGCAACTCCATACCTACACATGCGCAGCGGCAAACTTCTCGACCTTTGGACATCAAGCCATAGATAGCCTATTGATCTTACACTGGCATTACTATTTTACCTATTAAGTTAAGTTTTTTCTTGTAGGTGTTTGAGAGTCAACTAAAGCGATTCAACCCTTCAAAACAATTATGGCCAAGCGTGTTTGTATCCTTAGCCTTTACTGGTCAACGTGTTGATACATATTTGAACTGCTATAACTTGGCCTACCAGTAATAATTGTTACTACGACGAATAATTATTAAATTGTTATTAGTAGACTTAGGCTATAGGGTTTTTACGACAAAAACTTATAGCAAATAATAAAAAAAAATTAATTTAAAATCAATAGGTACCCTATAGGCTTACTATCTTTTATAACTACAATTCATTTGTTTCACTTAGTGACTCCATAAACGATGTCTTTTCAGAATACAGTATATGTTTATTTATTTATTTCAACGGATACACCATTTACAAAGATATGTTCTTTTAGGCCTAGTATGAAATCTATAGAAAAAAGCTGAGCGCTGTGGTGTTGAGGTGCGGTGGGCTGAGTGTGTCAAGGTTAATAACAAGACATAAACAATGGCCAGACATTTTGCGAACGGCTAGCAGTAGGCTACACAACAGTCGCATGTTTTTAAGCTGAGACATACCGTAGTTTATTATTTTGCTGTTTCTGCTGACGTTATTGACCAAAACCTTTTGATCTATTTGTTATCTAATACAAGAGTTTAAAACTGTTCCATTCTACTATCTTAAATTGTTAAAAACTATTTACGAATTGTTTGTACCTACATAGCTTTGTAAAAATGTCAATCTCTTTACATTTTTGGCTGTTAAAAAAGCAATATACAGCCTATTACAAAAAATGTGTATTTTTGAAGTCCCCTAAAGTTTTATACATGCATGCTGTTACTACAAGAAAACAATTTTGTCAAACTCAGTCTCAGTATAGTAGTACAGTCTACTATCAGTACAGTCTCAAATACTATTGGAACTGCTAAATAAAAAGCCATGTTGTGCCCTTTTTTAGAGGGGTGATGAAGACTCAATAAGTTCACAAATAATATCTTTTTAATAGCCAGCTTTAAAATATTAAAAGGATACGGCATGTGAAACTGTTAAATTGGAACTAACTTAACCTGCTAAGAAGAAACGGCTTAGATTTATTTGGCTTTGATAGAGCAATCGATTTGACAACCAATAAACTTAAACAAGCACTGACTTATAACCGCTCAGCTACCCAGCATCCAGTTCAATAGATCAATTATACTATTTAAATTTGTTATTATAAGTGATGAACATTGAGAAAAACTGTAGCACAATCGTTTCTTTGCAAGCCTAAACTTTTTGCACTTTGTTTAGGCTCCTGCAGAGCAACCGGAAGCGGCACAAGAAAACCCACATCAGCCAAGCAGGATGGAATCATTCTTCGCCATCACCAAATCCCTCATTCTTCGAGCCTTGATTTTCTACTTTATCACGTCATTCTTTCGAAGACCAGCCCCGACCCCGGCTGAGCAAGGAGTCCCAGCTGTTGGAACAAAACTGCCTGCGTTCAACTACTTTCAAAATGGATCAAATATGGTGATTGAAGATGAATTTTAACTCTTTTATCATTAAGTTTATGTTTAAGTTGAGCTTAATTTTATTTCCCCCAGTTAGCTGTTGCAATCTAAAGGAATGTTTTTAGTTAATCAACATGTATGAAATTATTTTTACGTTTAAAGTTTTAATTGCTACACATGCTTAAGATGTCTGTGATTTTATTTTGTGTTAACTTTAAATTTGTGTTTGTTCCTACTGGTTATTATAAATCATTTTGTTGCTGTAGAATATTATTTATTTTTCCCTAAAGACTGGCTTTCACACTAAACGAAATTATGATGAAATATTACAACACAGATTTCTATTCACAGAAGTTTTCTAAATTTGTTTTTTGTGGGTAGTGGGTAAAGCCGGCCTTAAAGCTTTGAGATCTATGATAATATTTCAGTGTTGTGAAAAATTTGAAAGAAACTATTTTATAAAGTTTTATTTGTAAAGTTTTTCTTGCAACTTATATATTTCATGTGATTTAGCTAAGGTGTTGACGGTACTTTCTCTGTTAATATGAGAAGTTGACTTTTCAGGGTTCAGTTTTTAAAAAGAAAATATTTTGTCTTATTACTTATTGAACAAGGTTCTTGTTGTGTAAAGTATTTCCAACATTTAGAAACATCAATAGTTTTAAATCCTTTTGGCAAATTGGGCTTAATTTTAAACGACCCAAACCATTAAACCTACTACAGTGGTATTTTTTACGAAAGCTTAATGTAGCCTTTGAATTTTATCTTTGAACATAGCATGTCATTATTGGGATTTATTAATTACCGGTACTTGTAATCACACAAGGATTGTAGAAATTGATTTTACCTCCACTGCATAATCTCAACATTACTTAGAAGTGACCACAGTTTAAAGTATGAAAAGATGTTTTATACTAATTGTTAGCCTACCCATACCATTAAAAACATATGTTTGAATATTTTAAAGTGAGAATCACACTTGGTATTAAAATAATGGATAATGTATGTAAACATTATCAAATAAAATAGGATATATTCTTTAAAATATTTGTTTGATTTCACAAGGGTGTAGGGTATTCATCATGAGGTAAGTTGGCCTATCAATATTATGACAATACTTTTAACACGTTGAGTGTTGACTACATCAATTGATGTAGTCGCCCCACAAGCACTCCTATCGGCCTACATCAATTGATGTAGTTGCGCAACCCCCACTACAATAGTTCAGTATGAGCTCAGCCATTGCCGGAAAACGTTATAATCATTGCTAGCCTGTAGCTTAGAATGTGAGCTTTATTTTGGTGTAGGTTGGAACTAAAATTTCCCGCAAAATCCCGTCTGACAATAGTCCCGGATTCAGGAATTTTCTCTTTTCAAGCCACATTACAGACACTGACTACTGATCTAGGCAGTGCTGCTACCTTTGGGTGTTTCAGGGAACTACATCCACTATCAGAGAAACGTAGTAGTACAATCACAGCTGCTCTTTTGTTATTTGTTAGATTGAAACTTTTCAATGCCAATTGCATTTGCTGTTACAGTGTCGTGCCGGGGCTTTGCCTGGGCCTCGCCGCCGTTGGCGAGCGCCTGTTTGAATGTATGCCGCACCAACGTGTTAAATGTAGTCAATCTCACTTAGTGTTTAATTGCATGCTTAAGGGACTTTGTGTGATCTAAATCTTGTGGCGTTGGTTTTATGTATGATCACCTCTTCCTTGATATTTAATCTATTTAATTGAATCTTATTTTTAATTTTTGTAGAACAAATAGTAAAGTATTACTGCACTGCAGTGTCTACAAATCTTGAAAAAAATATATCATTTTGCCATTAGTGTTTAACTACTTACTTAATAGCCTACATCAGACTCTTTTCCACTTCCAAGGCATGCTGTGTTTTTTAACACTATAACGCCATGTAGAATGGTTGCTTGAAGTTTGAAATTAGCACTAACACACCTATCCTGCAGGATATGCTCATGTTCCTGTCAGAAGAGGAGGTCCTCTCAGACCTAAAGTTTGAAAAGAACCGACAACCGCCGAAGTTGATATGGTGGGAGAGAGGACTGACCTATGGAGAGTGGACAGACGGACCTAACGGGGATGGAACACGCGAGGCGCACGTCAAGTTTGACACTTCCGAGGTTAGTAAAACATATATTATTACCAACATATTTTCTTGATCCAGCTATTGGTCTTTTAATAATAAGGGTTTTGGCTAAAGATTGATTTTATTCAGTGACAAAGCTCCCATCTCACTACTACTTCACTAATTTTCGTCTTCAAATACACAACCCAATGTATACGGTATGAATCTAATGTTAACAAAACCATCAGAAATTACATTGTAAAGTTTGTAATAGATCTATGACTGGCTTTATGAAATGCCATGCCAAAATAGATAGAATAAAGCCGGATTGTAAACCGTTGTGTTTTTTCAAGAGACAATTCTTAGACTTTTGGATGACTGCAGTATTTTTGGTACAAGAAAGAAATTGAACAATTTGAGTGCAGGTTTGCTTTGCTATGTAAATAGACTGTGTTTTATAATTATGTGGGATGTGGAGAAATTAATCAATAAATTATATTTTCTAGGTATCATTTTGTTTTTGATAGAAACAGCAGGCTTACCTGTACATTGGATGGTGCTTAGTGGCCGAGGATGACGTGTAGAACCTAATGCCATTTCGTTCTACAAGTGATCCTGGGCCACTAAGCCACTAAAATTTACAATTAATTAGGCCAATATCAAAATTTTTTAAATTATCTTGATTTACCTGTCTATGGGTGATCATACTGTTGTCTATGGCGACCGGTCTCGAGATTAAAATCTCGTCATCAGGCTTCCTCAAATGTAATTCTTCATATTACTCAAGTTGAAGTGTTCGGTGGACACAATAAACATGACTACCCAACTCCTGTGCGTAGTGTTCTGTACTGGCTAGTTGCAAATATTTGTACAACAATGTCCTTTTGTTATTTTGTGTTTTATGTTTTCTGTTTTTGTTTATGTGTTCACTGCCGATCTTAACTTGAATGATATAACAATTAAAGAAGCTTGATGATGAGATTTTAATTTTGAAACCGATCCCCTTAGACAACAGTAGGATATGTCTGTTAGGTCTGGTCCCTATAGACAGTAGGATCAACGACAGGCAGGGAAATTAACCCATTTAACTGTACATTGGTTGAGTCGTATCAATAGGAAACACACACAAAATTGAAATATTTAATGGTCTCGGGCCAGATACAACTTTATCAAATCACAAAGAAAGGAAGATTGTAATGGTGATGTACGATGCAGTAGTACCAACCTTCCAGCTTGGGAACAGAGAAAATATCTGCAAAAGTTGTTATTCACAAAATTATTATTCTAGCTAATCGCTGATTATAGTCCCTAAGCCTGCTCAAGGAAGTTGTTGGGAGGAATTATCTTTATTATGGTTTGGGTCCCTGTCGAGTTTTGAAAACCACTGATTGGAAAGTTCTCATCTTCTGAGTTGGATGGATAATGTTATTTTATGTATATTCATGCCAGTGGAAATGATTACATTTTGGTTCACAGAACTGTCAACACCTTGATCTGTTACTGTCTTCTTCGACCATTTGTTAGAAAACATAATCAGTTAGAACTTAAAAACCTAAAGTGGCATATTGGGTTAAAGTAAGTCCTTCTCAAGATGAAACTGGTTCAGTAACATCTTTTTATCCCTCAGCAATCCAGCCAATCAAAACTAAGAACTCTTGTGCTCATTACATGTGCTAAGAAACAAGTTGAAAAATACCATCATGTTACTACTACCAGACATAACAATAATACCTTAAAACGTCTGCAGCTGATGGGTTTCTAAATCTATAAAGTTTAATCTTTTTACCATAATCAGAACTAGATATTTCATTCCTCTCTTAGAGTTGCCTGTTATAGCAAATTTACGTACAGTAGAACTCAATTATTTGGGGTAATGGGAGGGAGGGAGACCACGGATTTAACTGAAAACCACGGTTAATCCAACACGCCATAAACATGTTTTACAAAACCTTAAAAACACCTAATACAGTACTTTATAAATGGACGTTAATGTGATGATTAATTTGCATTTTACATCATCAAAATACAATTAGTATTGTGCAATCGTGATATGTAATGTCATTAACCTTGGTTCAGTAATAAAAACTGTAACGTTTAAACATGCTTGTTAACTCAAATAAAACAAAAATTGCTACACTGTACAGCAATAAATCACGTAAAGAAGAAAACAAAAGAAAATTTAGACTAGTAAGTTACTGCTACCGTAGTCATCATAGGCTACTACTACATGATGTTTCAGAACAAAATAATGTAGATAAAAACATTAGATAACTCATAAAAACAACATAAAATCATAGTACTCAAGTTGTAAAGATAATAACAATAGTCGTAAAATAAGATTTAAAGATAACAATGACAAAACACCACTTATAACTTCTCTTTGTTCTTCTCTTTCTTTGGGTTTTCTTCATCCACATATTCAACAAGTTTCCATGGTTTATTCACCCAACCACATTCTACTAAAGTTGTCATGGTGACTTATCACCCAATCACAGGCTGCTTAAGTTGTCATGGTTACTAATCACCCAATTACAAACTGTTGTGACATAGCAAGCGCACAACAGACAGATTTGTTAGGAGCAGACGATTTTGAGTGCAAGCGAATAGATTAACCTCGAAGCTCTCGATGGCCATTTCGTTGTTTTGCCTCCATTTATTTTTGTCAAATGAACTGTGATGATTCAAAAACAATAATGGGGGAACCTACTGCATATAAAAATGGCCAGAAATAGTTAAATATACTATTATACAGTACATTTCAATATATTAGACTGAAGAAATACAATTTATAAAATTTTCTTGGGATTTTTGAGATTATGTAACCTAATTTTAGAGGCATCTATTGACCACAGATGATCCGCCGCCCGGTTAATCCACCCCTGTAATGGAGGTTCTTCGGTAGTTGAATTGAGCCTATAGCCGATATAAATTATTGATTTCTGTAAAATATAGACACTTTTAACCAAGTCAGACTGAAAGGATAACTTATTGCTTACTAATGTCACATAAACTATCAGTAACAATATATATAGGGAGAAATGCGAGGGCGGTTTTTTAAGTACCGTAAGGGCTGTTAAAAACCGCCCTCGTACAATTTTAGACTCAAACTAAGTGAGTGGTCTATTCTTCTATGTTCTTTGTGAAAACAAAAGTCTACAGCTGGTCTAAATAGATGTCAGTTTCCAAAAGTCATTATTTGGATCCATGCCTAATCTTGATATAATTTGTTGGTTTTTAATTAGGATTGCTACAAAATGTTGGGGCCTAGGTTAAAAAAACAAGTTAAATGAATTTTAAGTTGCATTACACAGTCATTTCTAATGCCTGAGCATTACATTTACAATTAGCCTGAAGAGAAAGTTTTCTGTTCAAGGTTAATGAACGTTTGCATATAACTGTTCCGGATAAGCTTTGTCAACCTGACTGATATGTTGTCAATTCCCTTTTGGTTGTTTACTCATTAACAGACACTTTTACTTTAGTTTGAAAACAATTTGTTTCAATTCTTGCTGATTTTATTTCCATTTCTTATACTATAGTTATTTTTTGAGATTTATAAGATCAATGGTTCACCAAATCCGTCTAAAATATTATTATATTTAACACTAGCTGTACCCGCGGGCTTTGCCCCGTTTTACGGGTCCGCGGAATTGGCTAACTCTGGAACTCGCTAACCCCATGTTAAATGCCCTATCTTCAAATTTGGTCGATGAGAGGAACTCGCTAACTTGTTCGGTTTCGGAATTGGCTAACTCCGGAACCCGCTAACCCGCTCTAGAGCCGGGTTAGCGAATTCCGTCCTCGTACGGAAGTCGCTAACTCGGTCCCTCGGCGGAACTCGCTAACTCCCAATCAGAAGCCTCGCGGACCGTCCAATGGGAGCCAAGCACGAATATTTTTGGCCAGTGTTGCCGAAAGTGTAGTACCTATATCGTATCGGCACCATAATGTCGTATCCTACGCTTAATTAGGAGTAAGAGCAACGCAGTCGATAAAATAAATATATTTTGAAGTATGTTTAACCACAGAGAAGTTCTTATGATTATTAGGGTGGAAAATGCATTATAGTCTTACCATAGACTAACCAACACAAGTAAACTTTACATCCCATTGTAAACTTTGAAGCTCGTTTTTCGTGTCTAGTTCATGTCCGGTGACACTGATCGCTAGTGTCGACAAAATTGTGTTTCTATTATTTTATAGTTAACTTCATGATTTGTTCCTTACTGTTTGGTTATATAACTAGGGGACGTGTTATTAGTTGTGATTAGAACGTTTTATTTGGTTAAACGAGGTTTTAAATTACTGAAAACAAGAAACAATTGTAAACCAAACACGACCTCTAAAGACAGTACACCGGACAGAACTAACAATACAACTGTCTTCAGATCATCCATAAGGATGAGAAATGTACTAATATAAGGGAGTATGTTTTATATGTGGGTTTCTTACTTAAATAGTAGCTTATTGGTATGAAAAAGATAAAAATGCACATTTAATTTGGATCTATTACATGTTATGAAATATCTATTTTCGTAGTCCGCCATTTGTTTCTTTTATTCGAATAAATACCATTTTGTGAACTTCTGCAAATAAAATTTTTGTGTTCGTATTTTATATACTGGGCTTGTAGTAACCTTAAATCATAAATCAAAATAAAATGTACACGTTAAACGTCATTACAGAATTACATTGTAGTGGTTATGTATTTTTAAATAGAGCTATTGAATTTAAATAAATATTTATCAATACATTATAAAGTGGTAGGCCTAATGTATTCATGGATTGCATTAAAAGTTAGTCTATGCATAAATACAACTTGTAAATTTCTTTTATCGTAGGCTATTAGTGTAGAACCCGGGTCATCCTCTTAATTTTGTTGAATTAATATTAATTTTACGTCTTTCAGTAGGCTTACTTTTTAAAAGTCTGGAGTTTTTTTCCAGGCTGATTCTATCTTATCCAAAAACAAAGCTATTGTCTATTGTGTAGCTCAGTACTGGGGAACGGTGAACCGAGCAATGGCTTGGTATAGTTTATATCGTTTGTGAAAGC